AAATAAACTTAAATGATTTTAGCACATGGCTGCAATATAACAAAGAGTGAAAAATTTAAGGGGGTCTGAATACTTTCCGTACCCACTGTAACTTCAGTGATGCCGGGATTTAAACAGGCTGTTTTACCTGTGAGTGACCAGCTGTATGGCACAGGCAGGGCTCAGGATGGCCAGACTTTAGGTCTATATGGCACCAGGAGGGCTCAGGATGGCCAAAGTTTAGCTCTTTATGGCACAGGCAGGGCTCAGGATGGCCAGACTTTAGGTCTATATGGCACCATCAGGGCTCAGAATGGCCAGACTTTAGGTCTATATGGCACCAGCAGGGCTCAGGATGACAAGACTTTGGCACATGCTGACCAGTTGCCGGCTAGTGCACTGCTGCTGGTTGACAGGTAAACTAGCATGAAGCAGGAGCAGCTCAGATTCAGTAGGTTTAAAACTTTAGAGCAGAGATTGTGTATTTTCTTACAGCTTTATGAGGCATTTGATGACTAGTAATGGATATTACTGGGGGAAACTTTCAGCTTTTCCTAATTTGGGTGGGATATGTCCCCTGGTCCCCCGTGGAGATTATGCCATAGTAATACGATTATCAGTGGCTAATATTCACCCTGTGAATAATGGCTACTAGTGTGAAATATTGAAGCATTTAGGTTGTTATATAACTAAGGCACTAACATAGTTTGGATATTGGTATTTTAATAAGACACTGTATTATGAGACAAAAGTATAACCTTCACATAGTTGTAGTGTGTGCGTGTTCACTCATTATTAAATGCACTTCTGGGGAGTTGTGCTTAGCACGACTCTGCTCCAAGGGAGTCACCAAGGGAAAGAAAGGGTGAGACTGAGCCTGAGCCTTCATTCTCCCAGCTGGTGCACGATCACCTGTCTTTGCTTTTAAAAGAGTTCGAGCGCTACTTCCCAACCACAAAGGACCCACGAACTGCCAAGGAATGGATCCGCAACCCATTTGTCAACAAACCAGGTGAATCCAGCAGGTCTGTGCAAGAAGAAGATCAACTGCTGGAGATCGCAAATGACGGCGGCCTTAAAAGTATGTTCGAGACAACAACTCTGTCGGTGTTCTGGATTAAAGTCATGACAGACCACAGCACTGAAAACTGAGACTTTGATGTTATACTCATGTTATGTTGTTGGCGCAATGTTACGAGGAAGCTGCTAATAAAGTTGCATACAAGTACACAGTGGATTCACATTTATTATTATATTTACAATATAAACAATCTACGTCCCCCGATTTAGATGTCTGCTTTTGTCCACATTGCAGCAGAAGCATGACTGGAGAGTACAGACAGCAACAAAATGAATTAAAAATATATTACAACCCTAAAAACTGCTTCACAAAAAAGTAAAAATCCACACATAGGCTCAAAGAAAGATGATGACAGAAGACAAAAAAACAACATGACACCTAAATGGTGAAAAAAAATACTAAAACAGAATATTTGGTGAATATTTTCAGTTTACATCTAAAACAGCTTGGATGATAAATCCCAGGTAAACGTCAAGTGCTGATGCTGCTTTGAAATTACTTATTTTATGTTATAGACATCACATTTGTTCCACCAATGCTATGGATATCTTCATTTTGACAAATGAATAAAATGTGATCATCATGTCGGTGGAAAATGGAGCTGTTAAACACAGCTGGCATAATGGACACATTACACAAGTACTCACTAGCTGCACCATAACTGTTCCCCTCTTTAACTTTTTCTGTATAAAGGTTTTTTGAATGTTGTGTGATTTTACCTTTGCGTGATGAAGGTCGACTCCATACATGGAAAGCTTCTTTACGTTTTCCAGGAAATGCATCTCAGCTTCAGCTGGGGTCATTCCTCTACAAATAGAGGAGGTTTGACCTTAATTATACTGTTTAA